ATGTGAACAAGGTCTATTCAAGAGAACCTGTAAAGTAAGAAGAAGAATCAAAGAAACAGCTCATCTTGTCTATTGTAGATACTAATAAAGGAACATTTTTGTGAGCAAATCTAGTCGGAGGGAGCGTCGCGGCGCTTCACTTCGTCCACGCTGAGGTGTTGCAATATGAATGCCTCACACATTTGCCTTACCCAACTCGACTTTGTTTAAATGTCATCGCAGTGTTAGAGTTCGTCCTGGCAAGTAATCCAATCTCAAAAAGCGGAACGAAGCTCCTGGTTGTGTGAACAATATGCTCGTACAGCAAAAGAATTAGGTTAGTATGAAAATGAGAAAGTTGCCATTGTTTTGAATGCCTTGGATATTTGGCGCGGCGATGCGCCCAACCTCAATCCATTTTTTTGTGTAGCAAACAAAACAATTCAGCTGAACAATCAAGAAAACCGATTTTAAATTGAATAGTCAATAGTTACATATAAATAATATAATATTGTAATAACGTGAAACAAACGCTGTAGTCCTATGCATTTTGAATGCATAAACTTGACTCACTGGTGAAAAACGAGTACCTCAGGCTTGCTCTGACTAACATGGTAATACCAAGCAATGCGAAATAGCAAAATCATAAAAAATGTAATATAATATCCAAAATTTGATTTGATTGATATCCCAATCAACATGACATCGTTGGTGAACAAATCATTCAAAATAGATCGATCGGCTCTTTGTCTTGCTGTGCACATCAAAATTATGATTACATGCTCACAAATGTGAAAGTTCCAGAACTGCCATGCGCAACCCATAGAAGAATTGCGCGCCCGACAGACAATTCCACACTCTGCGGCCACTGGATTACGGTAGCCCCGGCTAGCCGATCGCACGTCGATCGGGAAGATAGCCCCTGAACCGGTGGGCGTGGCCTCTCCCGGAAGCTCTCCCGAGAGCATACCTTACCGGGGTGGGGACCCTCTCCTGTTCGGAAAGCATACCTTACGGCCCCTGAAGTCCACCTTACATAGTGGAACCGTTAACACGACTTCTGCTCTGGTTGTCTCTTCAAAAACCACGAGTCAGGATTAGGTCCTAAGAGCCAGCCCCTTCTAGAGTGAGAAAGAGGGGTCTCAAGCAGGAGGCACGACACTGTCGCGACTCAAAAGTGCGAGGCAACGGCGCTAAGGCCTTGCCTTGTGTGCTGCCGTGCTGCCATCCTTATCAACCACGGCATACGTGGTCTCTGCGCTCTCTCGCGTACGACGCACTATTTCCGGTTTTACTCTCCTCGCAGTACTCTTCGCCCTACCACGGCGTGCCCCATAAGGGAAATTAAGTGTTACCTATGGTGCTCTTTTCTCTCTCTTTTTTCCTCTTCCCACTTTTGCTCCCCATTGCTCTCCTTGCCTGATTTTCAAGCGAAAAAGCGCATCAATTCAATGTCGACGTGCCTTGAAATCAGGAGGGTTTTCGTCCCTCTTAAATCTCTTCCAGTCCGCCACATCAGTGATGCCATATTGCTTAACCCTTGTTCCATGTAAAATTAGTCGCATAAAGAAACCGTCCACATTAGTGACATTGATTTTTTATGTTTTATGCTTGCACATTTTTTTGTTTCGCTAAGAACTTGTAGCTTCTCAAGAGCAGGCTCTATCCGCCTAATCTATTCAGTGGAAACACAGCTTTCACAAATGATTATAATTATTTAGGTGATTTTTATTGGATTGATGACGTACTCCATATTTTTCACAAACATTCCACTCGGTCGTGACACAACACATTTAAGTCACGCTTACGATGTGGTCAGTGGTGGTTTTAATCGCATAGCTATTTCATGTTAATAAAATGGGACTATTGTTCAGATGTTCGCCTATCAACGAATGTTTTTCGTATTGGCTTTGACGTTGCGGAGCGAAAAGCTCGACAATGTGTTCAGACGGAAAAAGCGGTTTGTTCAAGTGATGGACAGTCAAGCTACGACCAATCATTTTGATGGTCTTCGGATGATGTGGTCGTGATCGTAGTCATTGAAAGATCCTAAATAAAACTGTTCGATGTAATTATAGTGTTATTGTGTTGTTTCTTCTGTGCCATACAGGTTGTTATGGTGGAACACGTTTATTGGTCAACGTTTCGACAAACGTCGTCTTCAGGACCTGAAACTGGTTCGAAGTCCTAGCTCTGTAGCTCACCCGGTAAAGCGCCTAATCTTACTGAGTTCCCGGAAAAGCGAAATAGTACAAAATGAAACGATCCCAGCGAACGAACTAACCTGTGGTGAGTCCACCAGTTTAGCAGCCTCCTCTTTGTTAGTGAGCGAATAAAATGAGACACCATAGTTCCCTGCTCTGGTTTTCTCGTGTCCAAGAACGACACACGCGAAGCAGTCAGCGGCAAGTATTTTTCAGCATATAGTATAAATGTGAGCGCTACACGTCCGGCCGTATTATAATGGAGTGAGAACTCGAGGATGGCGCGTCAACGGTCGGCATTTGGAGCAGGCAACTTCAAACATCGTAGTACAAAGATGATGAGGGTCCGCCCGAACCGGTGAAAACTTTGGGGTCCCAGTTACCGCTATACCTCTTTCACCAAGCAAACTAGGGTAGGCATCGTCGCAGCACTAATGGCCTTGAACTTGTGTGCTGCGTGCTGGCCGTCCTTTACCGAAACACGGCATTGACGTGGGTCTCCACGACTACTGCTCGAGTACGACCTGCAGCTATATTGCCGGTTTTACATGCTCTCTCGGCCGTACTCTTTCGCCCTACCTGGGTACGGGTGCCGCATGATAGGAAAGTTAAGTGTTACATATCGATGCTACTTTTCTCTCTCTTGTTCTCTACTCTTCTGCCACTTTTGGCTGCCCCATTGTTCTCTTGCTTGATTTTCAAGCGAAAAAGCGCATCAATTCAATGTCGACGTGCCTTGAAATCAGGTTTTCGTCCTCTCTTAAATCTCTTCCAATCCACCACATCAGTGATGCCATATTGCTTAACCCTTGTTCCATGTAAAATTAGTCGCATAAAGAAACCGTCCACATTAGTGACATTGATTTTTTATGTTTTATGCTTGCAGCATTTTTTTGTTTGCGTAAAGAACTTGTCCGGCTTTCTCAAGAGTCAGGCTCTACCCGCCTAATCTATTCAGTGGAAACACAGCTTTCACAAATGATTATAATTATTTTAGGTGATTTTTATTGGATTGATGACGTACTCCATATTTTTCACAAACATTCCACTCGGTCGTGATACAACACATTACAGTGCCCGCCTAACGATGTGGTCAGTGGGTGGTTTTAATCGGCATAGAGCTATTCTCGAATCGTTAATTAAAATGGGGACTTTATTTCAGTATGTTCGCCTATGCATCGATGTTTTTTCGTATTGGCTTTTGAGCGTTGCGGAGCGAACATGGTCGGATCAATGTGTTAGACGGAAAAAGCGGTTTGTTCAAGTGATGGACAGTCAAGCTACGACCAATCATTTTGATGGTCTTCGGATGATGTGGTCGTGATCGTAGTCATTGAAAGATCCTAAATAAAACTGTTCGATGTAATTATAGTGTTATTGCGTTGTTTCTTCTGTGCCATACAGGTTGTTATGGTGGAACACGTTTATTGGTCAACGTTTCGACAATTCGTCGTCTTCAGGACCTGAAACTGGTTCGAAGTCCTAGCTCTGTAGCTCACCCGGTAAGGCGCCTAATCTTACTGAGTTCCCGGAAAAGCGAAACAGTCCAAATTGAACGATCCCAGCGAAGACTGAGCGGGGCTGTGGTGAGTCCACCAGTTTTTAGCCTCCTCTTGTTAGTGAGCAAATAAAATGAGACACCATTGGACAGTCAGCGTCCTGTGTGTCGTATGTGGTGATCTTACAGTCCACATAAATGAATGAACGGCAAGAATTCATTGTGCAATGCGCCGTTGGCATTCATTGCCATTAATGCAGTCTTGATTTTTCACGGTGCGCTATAAAACGCCTTGCTGCCTAGTTTTTTCCAGCATTAGCTGGTCATTTTTGTGAGGCTAAGAATTTGCATTTATTGTCAAAAATCATTACCTGGATGTTTCCTTACTCTCGGGATTGCTTGCCAAGTGAGTAAGCGAAATTCCGCGCGCTTTTTTCCTGCCATATGTTCTTTAATGCGCACGCCTTAGCATCCTGCCCGTCTCTCCAATATAAAGTTCGTCACAGGTTGAACATTGAAGTTGGTATACTATCCCTCGTTGCGCACAGTCTCCTTGCCTTCCATATGGGCAAACAACGCAGTGATTCGTGGTGCACGCGCGGTCATAGAGTCTGTTGCGGATTAGCTGACGCTTAAGATTGTCTCCTGGTATATTAATCAAAACGACTTCATCAGCTAGATCCGCCCGTGCAATGCACTGCCGTATAGCCATGCTAATTCTATCCGATATGAAAGGCAACTGGAGGTGCGCCATCTTTGTTCGCGACCTTGTCTCGCGGAAGCGGCCTCGTGAACGCGCTCGAGACTTCTCGGGCGAAACGTCTTAGATGTAGTTGAGGAAAAAAGCTTCAAAAACATTCCTATCACTCTTATTTATTCTAACTACCCTCTCATTGCAAAGTTCTTGCACACCCCAGCTGGTTAAAATTTCGTCGGGAACCATTGCTTAGGAAGAGCAAGTGAGTCTGGTACAGGCGACGTGAGGATTGAGTCACGGTAGCTAGCATTCAGAGGATTTTGGGCAAGATGCGACAATGGTTTTTTATGAAACGAGGAACGAAGGAACAGGCTCATTCAGTAGGAGTCATTTGAGAAATTGGCGAAAATTCACAAAACATTTTTTGCGCGAGACGTTCGCGCAGCTTTTTTCACGAGGACGTTTTTATTTCGCGAGAAAGTCTCGAGGGTTCACGAGGGCATTCCGCGAGAAGTCGCGAAGAGATGCGCACCTCCAACTGCCTTTCATATCGGATAGAATTAGCATGGCTATTCGACAGTGCATTGCACGGGCGGATCCTAGCTGATGAAGTCGTTTTGATTAATACCAGGAGACAATCTTAAACGTCAGCTAATCCGCAACAGACTCTATGACCGCGCGTGCACCACGAATCACTGCGTTGTTTGCCCATATGGAAGGCAAGGAGACTGTGCGCAACGAGGGATAGTATACCAACTTCAATGTTCAACCTGTGACGAACTTTATATTGGAGAGACGGGCAGGATGCTAGGCGTGCGCATTAAAGAACATATGGCAGGAAAAAGGCGCGGAAATCTGCTTACTCCACTTGGCAAGCACCGAGTAGAGGACATCAGGGTAACGATTTTGAAATCAAATGCAAAATTCTAGCCTACGAAAACGACATCGGTGCTAGAAAAATGTTAGAGGCGTTTTATATCCGCGTGAAAAATCCAAGACTGAACAACCGTAATGAATGCATGGCCATTACCAATGAATTCTTGCCTTTCATTCCTTTATGTGGACTGTGAGATCACCACATACGACACGTAGGACGCTGACTGTCCAATAGTGTCTCATTTTATTTGCTCACTAACAAGGGGAGGCTGCTTATACTGGTGGACTTACCAC